GTATCAACGATTATTGATTAACATAAAGTTAAGCTAGAGAAATTACTAAATCAATTCTTTTGTTATTCCCTTAACAAATTTTTGGGTACTCATTACGTATTCACACAAGACTTTCTAATTTATATTCCAATGATCAAGTATATTTTTTTGTTTCAATGATTATTTTGTTTTAAGAATCCACAAAGCAGGATGCTTATTAATTGTAGCGATTAATATCCAGAACCAGTGCTAGTTTCTGTCAGGACCAGATTAGAACATTTGATTTCTTGTAGGTTCAGAGTTCAAACTATTTTAACTTGGAATCACAAAAAATAAAATAAAAAACGATTTTTAAAAATAAAGCCCAAGCCCATACTTTAGTCTACGACCGGAGCATTTTGGGCTTGATAAGAAACAACGTCGTTTCAATGACCGGTGGTTTTTTGTCTTTTCCATTTTTTTTTGTCTTTTCCATTTTTTATTCTTTGGAAAGGGTTTATGAAAGGGTTTGAGACCAGTCTTTCGTCTTGTCGTCACACTTCTTCACTTCCGTACGGTTTCTTGCCTCTCAGGCAAATCGTAACCCTAATTTCCCAAATTCGCTTCCTCTCCAGTCATGCTAAAGCTCCTTACTTCGACCGCTTACAGTGCTCATCACTTCAACCCGGCTACTCGGGTCGGGTCAAACCCGGTTAATACTCCCCTCTTCAAGGCTCTGAGTCAGCTAACCGGAAGGAACCGGATTTCCCACGAATTGGGTCGTCGTGCTTTCTCCTCCGATCGCGGTGAAGCTGCGGCAGCTGATTCCGGCACGGAATCGTCAGCGATTGTCTCAACTAACCCTAGCGTCGAAGATTGTCTAACGGTTTGTATAAATTTTGATTCAAAGTGAATTTTATGATCATGGGTTTATCTTTTATCCACAATGTAGGATTTTGAGAATCGATTGAAATACATTTCCCCTGTTGCTCTATTGTTGGGAAAATTCAAAATTTCAGACTAAAATTTTTTTGATATACGGAAATTGGATTGACCATTCCATTGGATTTGGTACGCTAAGCTCTCTGTTGTTTAATTGCAGGTTATAGCTTTGCCCTTGCTACACAAGCCTCTGATTCCTGGTTTTTACATGCCTATCTATGTCAAGGTATGTTACTTCAACCTATTTCCGGATACAACAAGTACCTATTTTTGTGGTCCATTCAGTTATAATGTTTCAGTGACTTTTAATCTTTCATTAGGATCCTAAAGTACTCGCAGCTTTACAAGAGAGTAGAAGACAACAAGCTCCATATGCAGGGGCTTTCCTTTTGAAGGATGACGTTTCAACTGGTTCATCTTCTATCTCTGAAACAGAGAATATTCTAGACAAGTTGAAAGGCAAAGAATTGCTTAACCGGATTCACGAAGTTGGCACACTTGCTCAGGTACCCTATTGTTGCGTGTTAGCACTGTGTTTTACCTTATCTCTGTCTGAAAGACTTTAACCATTGCCAATTTTATAGATTTCAAGTATCCAAGGTGAGCAAGTCATCCTTATTGGTCGTAGACGACTTCAAATAACAGAGATGGTAAGTTAATGGAGAAACAGTCTTATCTCTTAAAAGAATTATAGTTTAAAAGTTCAGAAGTTGTGTATATACCTTCCCTATGTGTCTTCTGTTTATCAAGTTATGTTACTATCAGTGAGAAAACCAAGTGCTTTGTTTGTGTACAGGTGAGTGAAGATCCTCTTACAGTCAAAGTTGACCATCTAAAGGTGTGTCCCTGTCTTGCAAGAGAAATAGGTGTGTCCCTGTCTTGCAAGAGAAATATGTGGTTTCTACTTTCTTTTGAAATTCTGAAGTGTATAACCCTTGTCATGTGTTTCTTTGTTATTTGTTGCAGAATAAGCCATATGACAAGGACGATGATATCATCAAGGCAACATATTTTGAAGTTATTTCGACGCTTAGGGATGTCTTAAAGACAACTTCACTCTGGAGAGATCAAGTTCAGACATATACCCAGGCATGTTCTCTTCATATCTGGCACTGCTTGCTATTGTGATTGCTAATATGTCAGAGTATCAGTATCTTAGTAGATTTCTTTTGAATTTCTGTAGCATATAGGTGACTTCAATTATCAAAAGATAGCCGATTTTGGAGCCGGGATCTCTAGCGCTAACAAACATGAAAATCAGGGGGTTCTTGAAGAAATGGATGTAAGTAGTTTAACTTTTAGGCTATTACTGTGACGTTTTGATGCCGAGATTGCCTCAAACAGGATGATATTCCTTCCTTAGTCAGCTTCTCATAATGGTTTTCTTCGGTCCAGGTTCATAAACGTCTGGAGTTGACGCTGGAATTGATGAAAAAACAAGTGGAGATTAACAAGATTCAAGTACTTCATGCCTTCACTTTCCATTTGAAGCATGCTTCTAGAATTTTTGTATATGATTTTATCTAGAATGAATCCTCATCTCTTTTGATTCGTGTTTAGGAATCCATAGCAAAAACTGTTGAAGGAAAATTTAGTGGTGAACGACGACATATCTTGCTAAAGGAGCAGCTCAAAGCTATAAAAAAGGTTTTCAGCTTTCCTCTTAATTTATGGCTGTTTTTTTTGTGGGTGTGTATCATTGGTTTGATAACTATCAAGTGTCCTAATGCAGGAACTTGGGTGGGAGACAGACGACAAATCTACATTTTCAGGTTAGTACTAGTTTGAGTTCCGATAGTTATGCGCGATGACTGAGAAACAACTGAAGCTTATAAAGTCTCTTCGTTTCTGCAGAAAAGTTTAGGGAAAGGATTAACGCGAATAAAGACAAAATTCCAAAGCATGTACTAAAAGTGATAGAAGAAGAGCTAAAAAAACTGGAGCTGTTAGATACCGAGTCAGGCAATTTCGATGTGACCAATAACTACCTTGATTGGTTGACCGTGTTGCCTTGGGGAAATTTCAGGTGTGCCATTTGCTTCAGAAAAAATGTAGATTGTTAATTGATTTTTTTGTTGTGCACTGGTTAAGAAATCTCATTATAATCATAATTATTTGGTTTGCAGTGATGAGAATTTTGATGTCCTAAGGGCAGAAAAGGTTCTTGACGAGGATCATTACGGGTTGTCTGATGTAAAAGAACGAATACTAGAGTTTATTGCTGTGGGAAGACTTAGAGGCACTTCAGAAGGTCGTATTCTTTGCCTTTTCTGATTAACTCTTCTTTGCTTAAAAGATTTATTATAAGTTGCAAAACTAAAAGTTTGTAAACTGTATCAACAGGGAAGATCATTTGTCTCTCTGGCCCTCCTGGAGTAGGTAAAACTAGCATTGGGCGTTCTATTGCACGCGCTCTTGACCGCAAGTTCTTCCGGTTCTCTGTTGGAGGACTAACTGATGTTGCCGAGATTAAGGTATTCTACATGACAAAGCTACAGTTCAAATCTGTTAAGAAAATATTTATAAAATAATAATCTATTCTCTTATACATTGTTTAGGGGCATCGTCGAACATATATTGGTGCCATGCCTGGAAAGATGGTGCAATGTCTAAAGAATGTTGGAACAGAAAATCCTCTTGTTCTGATCGATGAGATTGATAAGGTAGCTTAGCTTGTTAGTATTTGAATTGGCTTTTTGGAGTTTGTATCCAAAATGCTTCCTTCTTTTCTTTGTTACAGCTTAAAATTCTCCGCAATAATTGTCTATTGTTTCTTGGTAGCTTGGAAGGTGCCACACTGGCGACCCAGCCAGTGCGCTGTTGGAGCTTCTGGATCCAGAGCAGAATGCGAATTTTCTAGACCACTATCTCGATGTTCCTATCGACTTATCAAAGGTTTCTTTCTACTCTTTACAGTTTTCAAATGAATTTTCTTTCTTTATGACCCAGGAAAYTTGGAATCCATTTATTTGATCCTTGTATTGATTTCATAATAAGCAGTTTTGTGTTTGACGTAGGTCTAAACTACTTTATTGCAGGTCTTGTTTGTATGTACAGCAAATGTAGTAGATACGATTCCGAGTCCTCTGCTAGATAGAATGGAAGTGATTACTCTCGCTGGATATATCACTGATGAGAAAATGCATATTGCTAGAGACCATTTGGTGAAAAGCACATGCAAAGACTGTGGCATTAAGCCTGAACAGGTGTCACTCCTTCTCCTGTCATGCCATTTGAATGTGTTCATGTTATGAGAGATTTTCTCAAGTTGTTTGTGCTCTTACCAGGTTGATGTGAGCGGTGCAGCTCTTCTTTCATTGATAGAAAATTACTGCAGAGAGGCAGGAGTTAGAAATCTCCAGAAACAGATTGAGAAGATTTATCGTAAGGTATATGTTTACATGTTCAGTGAACATTCCAAACTGTTTATAAGAGTCTCGAGAATCTAAAACCATTTGACTTTTTTTGGCAGATTGCTCTTAAACTAGTACGCCAAGGAGCTAGTACGCCTGCAGTTTCTGTTGATGTTACTGACTGTGAGGACACTAAATCATTGGCCAAGACCAATTCGGAGTCCACAGAGACGTCTGCAGAAAGGTCCACTGAGTTAACAGATGAGTCAGCGAATGGGGATTCGTCAACACACTCAAAGACTGAGCAGAGTGGAGCGGTAGCTGCAAAGGTTTTGATTGATGAATCAAACCTTGCAGAGTATGTCGGGAAACCAGTGTTCCACGCAGAGAAGCTCTATGAACAGACACCGGTCGGGGTTGTAATGGGTCTAGCTTGGACATCCCTGGGTGGCTCGACATTGTACATCGAGACTACTTTTGTAGAAGAAGTAGAACGAGGTCGTCTTCGTATAACGGGTCAGCTTGGAGATGTGATGAAGGAAAGCGCAAAGATTGCCCACACGGTCGCCAGAAGTATAATGCTTGAGAAAGAACCCGAGAACCTGTTCCTTGCGAATTCCAAACTTCATCTACATGTTCCTGCAGGAGCCACTCCAAAAGACGGTCCAAGCGCAGGCTGCACCATGATCACTTCCTTGCTATCACTTGCCATGAAGAAGCCTGTAAGGAAGGATCTTGCAATGACCGGAGAAGTCACTCTAACTGGTAGAATTCTTCCAATTGGCGGCGTAAGTCACTTAGACACACTATAATTACTCTGTTTTAGCTTTTTAGTTATGTTCCGAAGAATAATATACAAAAACTATCACAGGTTAAGGAGAAGACTATAGCTGCGAGACGGAGTCAAGTGAAGATGATAATATTTCCAGAGGCTAACCGTAGAGATTTTGACGAGCTTGCGGAAAACGTGAAAGAAGGGCTCGATGTTCATTTCATCGATAAATATGAGCAGATTTTTGAGCTAGCCTTTGGCTATGACCATTAGAAGCAGTCTCGCTTGGGATCTTACTCTGTTGTTGTTTTCACAATATATCACTGATACTTAATTCTTTAGGCTGATCTTTGTCAACTTTTCTTACCACAAAACAAAATGAAAAGCCAGGGATTATGTAATATTTTATTGTACTAATTAGGGTAATTTATTTTTGAGATTGGTTTTCTTGGAGTATAGAAATCGAACTCTAATCGTGAAACATTTTATTGTTAGATCAAAGATTCAAAATCCTTTTTAGAACGTTACCACGAGCTTTTGTGAAAAATTGACATGTAAACATAAAATGAAACCAAATTTATATTTGGATAAACATGAATTTTTTTGTATGTATGGTTATACTTATATTTGTGCAAGACACTGGAAGTATTTATACAAAAAGAAGAAAACTAGAAAAGTATATGAATTGCAAAGAGAACAATGTAATGTAGATAGATATTTTAAATATACGTGAGTCATACGTAACAGAGAGATTTGCCTCCTTGCGTCAGACACGCTTTGATTGATATCCTCTTCTTAATTCTTCCTATTAGAGAAGTTGCTACCTTTTTTTTGTTGGGTTTAAATGTAAAGGCGAAGTTGCTATTTTTCCTTTTTATAATTGGTAACCAATAAAATTGGAAATAAAAGAGTTTAATTCCAAATCAGTATATACTTTGATAGACATTGAGATTATTAGTTTTAGGAAATTGGATTATCCTATAAATACATATCTTTTAAGTTCATCATAAAAACATCCAGAAACCATAACACATACCAAAAAAAAAACTCATATGAAAGAGAAGAGAAACCTAAACTCCTCAACTACGATGAACGAAAGTAACCTAAAGGCTTTCTCAAAAAAAGAGGAAAAAAGTAATCTAAACTCTCCAACTACGATGAATGAAACTAACCTAAACTCCTCAACTCCGATAAGCTCCTCAATTACAACAAACGAAGGTAAAACTTCTCACCTACCATGAACGAAGGTACCTTAAACTCCTCAACTCCGATAAAGTCCTCAATTACAACAAAAGAAGGTAACTTAAACTCCTCATCTACCATGAACAAAGGTACCTTAGACTCCACAACTCCAATAAACTCCTCAATTACAACAAAAGAAGGTAACTTAAAGTCCTCAACTACCATGAACAAAGGTACCTTAGACTACACAACCGAAGGTATTCCGCTAACTCTCATGAGTGATTATTATGTGCATGACAGATTTATTATATCAATCCATTAACTAAATTCTTATGTTACTTGACTTACAAGTTACGTGACAAATTTAGAGCATGGCTTAATTATGTACCCAACTCTTAGTAATATTTCAATGTCCTAGTATTTTTTATTTGCAACGATTCCCTTGTATATATTGATTAAGAATCCACAAAGCAGGATGCTTAAGATTAACGATTAATCTTCTATGACTTGAGTTTCAAGAGTTGTGCATCGATAACTATAAAACAACTTGAAGCTTATCAAGTC